TTGCAAAGTAAAAAAGGGAGAGAAGGAAAATACCTTCAAAGTGGCATGCACGATATCATTCATTAAAGTCAGGGAACTATGGCTCTCCAGCTTTGCTTTTTCAATTGGCCAATTTGACCCAAGCAGACATTGAAGAAACGACAAAATTCAAGAATGAATGGGTCGATTGCTGGTCTAAACCCTAAAGTAAAAGGGTAAGTGTAAACAAAAGAGAACTCAGTTAAATAGGAAGTAATTCTCTTATTCGGATTAGGGATAATAATGGAAAAATCATTACTCCAATGACAGTCCTTACGAACCACAGGAGTCAAAACCTCTGTAATTTGAGTAGGGTAAGCATCGACACGATCTAATGCGGAAACCTGGTTTCTAAGAGATTCCCTGTCATGGTAAAAAGACAATTCTGAAGGGACTATCTTATCTACTAAAGGTTCGCGTAAAGGTTCAGAATGCTTTACCCCTAGAAGAAAATTTGTGAGAAAGGGAACATCTGGTTCTAGAGGAAGGACCAGAACCAGAAGAAGGCATAGATGAACCACATCGAGTAGATCTTAAACTACGAAGTCTACCTCCCGTTCTGTGCCTAACAAGGGCATTGGGGAAGGAGTCATTAATGGAAACTCTCTCAGGGTTAGGGCTTGGAGAAGACATATCGAAGAGAAATGATCTAAGGAAGAAGTAAACAGAGATTTGGAGAAATAAGTGTTCAATAAGCTTTATGTGATAAAAGACAAGGGAAAAAAATTATATTTATACCGATAAGCAACCGCCAAAGGTAAAAGTGCGGAGGTGGAAAGACCATAATTATGATAACTGGTACTTCATTAGTAGTGGAACCGTAAAAAGCTTGAAAAGGCTGCAAAAACTGCAGAGCCAATGGAAAATTGATACGTGTACGAAATATTAAATGGAAGTGACAATTGAAGCGTCAATTTTGTCATATCATTAATGGTGACAAAAATTCTCGTTTTAATGAAATTCACTTCCCAAATATTCAATTGATGAATAAATGGAAAGTGGGGGGACTATCTGTAATGGGAAAAATTGTATTTATATATGCAAGTGACATGTTGAGACATGTGGACTGGTCAAATAGTCAAAGAATTATAATTAGTCAAGAGGCACGTGCAGCAGTAGAAACGAGCAAAGGCAAAGGAAGAGGCACTGGAGGACATTTGACGGATTCAGCGCCCGTACCTATTTAAATTATTTATCAAAAGGAATGGATCTGACCATAATAAAGAGCGCAGATACGGAATTCGACAGGCATTAAATACTGGATACATTAGAGAATTTGTATTGATTACAATGATTGTGTAACATAGCATTCAATGTCTTTAATTATTCATAATAGCTTCATTATGATTTGGAGGAAACGCATATCTTCAAGATACCAATAAAAGGGAGGTATCTGGTCACTTGTAAAGACAAGACACAATGGGAATATACTTTGATTCACTTGTTTTTTTCCTGATTACACTCTGGTTACTCTAAATTACTTTCTTCTACATATTCTTTTGATTATCAGTAACCCGCGTTCTTCTAAATTCTAACTTTGACTGAAATTCTATTTTTTGGTTAAACAGTAAAATCAATTATTCTATAGATCGTCGTGGTATGAACGTTGTTAATGGATTCTTAGCTTTCCTATTGATCTTGATTAATTCTAGCTTAGTTCTTTTTTGAAGTTATCATTCTGGACCGAACCCACTTTTATGTTGTCTCCTGAAACACCTGCTAATCCTGCAATTTTATTTTATGTGGTAGTGTTTAATAAGTAATAGTGTTTAAGAAAGAAACGATATATTTGAAGCATATGGTCTTAAATAATGCCATAAAATTTTCATAAATATAAAAGTATATTATTAATCGTAACATATAAAGTTTAAGGTTCACTTAATTTAAATATTCTTGTGAATGTGACCCTTTACATGCAATACTTTATGTATTACAAACGCTTAACCACCAACACCAACCTCTAGCAAAAAAATGCCACTATTAACCACCTTCACTGCCAGCCTCCACTATCAACTACCTTTACCAACATTCGTCGGTGCACAACCACCCGAGAAAACCACCACCACCTGCCAACACCACTATCAGTTGATCTATTGTCGCTAGCTTTTAAAACATCTTAATCAAGCATACAATTTTTACAACAAAGATATGAATTCAAATTCAGACATCTTAATTTTAAGGGGAAAAAATGAAGCCTGAATAAGCATCAAATCAGTACAATATTTTTATGTATACATATTCATAATTAAAATAATAAATGCAGGGATAGAAGAAGAGAAAGTGGACTCATTCAAAATTCCTGCATACTATCCGTCTCCGGCAGAAGTGAAGCATGTAGTTGAAAAGGAGGCATCTTTCACCATTGATGTCTTGGAAACTTCAGAAATCCATATGGATTCTTCTGATGAATACAACGTGACACAGTGCATGAGAGCTTTTACTGAGCCTTTACTTGTGAGAAATTTTAGTATGTGGGTCACATAACCAACATTACTTATGTGAGTTTAGTTTATTTCTTGACAAGTGGACTCATGTTCCTACTTACTTATTTTAAAGCATAAGCTAAAAAAAAGGCAATATTTAGGTCTACTCTTTTTCCTAATTAGAAGCTTAACTAATGGACAATAAAAGGAAAAGAAGAAAGTAAAAGATCTATTTCATTACTCCTATTATATTATTATAATATTATAATAAAGAAAAAAAAAGTACGGTGAAAAAAATTGCATTATGATCTATGTACTCTTCAAAGCAAAAAATAAGTTGAGAAAAGCAATTACATTAAAATACCTTTGGTTGCATTTTATGATAATCCAATCACTTAGTACAAGAAAAAATAACCATGACAAACTGGAAAAGAAAATGAGTTTCAAAAAGACAATGAAGAAGAAGCTAACGACGACAGTCACATACAACCTATACATAATGAACAATTTTGTATCTGAAATGCTTCGCAAAAATAAAATATAACAATGTAAACAAGCTCTAGTAAACTGTCTTGCTCTGAATACAATTAACATACACGATAATAACACTGCTACATAGGATATACACAATTGCATCACCAGACACAAATTATAAATCAAATATATGTTGACTCTTCAAATAATTCATACTATAAATATTGTTCAAGTGATCTCTCCGACACTATCAATTCAGTTCGTCCGTAAATCAATATAATCCAGAATTAAAATAAATGCGTAACAATCTTGTTAGTCTCAATACTAGTAATTCCAACTCAATTGCTAATTCGATTTCTACACTCAATTTGCTTGGCCACTAACATCAACATTTTTTCCCGTGATCTTTGAACTTTGGTTATCAATGCCACCTCCAAGTTGGTTAATTGAAGCCTGAGTCAACAGTTGTGTGAAGCTAGTGTTTTGATCTCCATATAACTGCATCATTGAATTAAAAGGAGTAAAGCAAAAAATCAAATCAAGACCGATAAGTAAATTAAAATATAAATACCAGTAACAAATTGAAAATTATAACTTGATAGTTTAGAGATTGAACCTCAAAATTTAACCCCAAGGATTGTTGCTCATGTTGGTCTGTTGCTCTAGCTTTTAATGTCTTCTGTGGTGCCCGCCTCTTCTTTTGCTCAGTTCTTGGTTTTAATCTTTCGTATCCATTTCGATTACCCTTTTTCTTAATTGGATCCAATACTTGATCATTGAATCCCAAAGAAGGGCCAACAGATGTACTAGATTTGGAACAACTCCTATGGGTACCTTCGGCATATAATTCACTTTAGAGTTTAGTGATCTCAACTCTTGCTTGACACAAATATTTTCTAGCAATTTCTTCAGACTCGGCATTATTTGCAGTTAAAGTCATAACTGCAAATGATTCTTTCATCAACCAGTTTAAGCGAATAGCCATAGAAGAAGTTGATGTTTTCTTTTTATTGTTGCACTCTCCAAACCATTCCCTTGTTTAGCATTCTTTGTCCATCTTTTCAAAATATATTATGTAGGGATATAAGAAAAATCCAAGTCAAGAAACAGAACTTTTAGTGCATGGCAACATAACCAACCCAAAGATTCAAACATAAGACAACTGCAACTTATGGAATTGCCCATAGAATTGAATTGCACTGTCTCAATTTGTCCACCTTCTCCCTTGAGGATTGTGTATGTGTGACAGGTGCCATTAATTTCAGTATTGATCACCTTTTTGGACATCCCTTTCAAAAATTCATGTTGAAATCTTGTAAATATAGTTCTTGTGTATAAAGTTGCAGCATGCTTTAATATCCCACAATCATCTATTGCAAGTTTAGGTATTCCTCGACATTTATAATCTTCTATCGCCTCAATGTCATGTATTTCAACTGCCCGTTGCTCATAATGATTAACAAATTCAGTTAAACTCATAGCCTTGCAAGCCATTTCTGTAAAGACTCTATTAGTGCTCTCACTCCTCTGAGTTGATTTAATATCCGCAGAGAAAATAGACCGGCTAAATGCAGGACACCACTTTTCCCTCAAGTCATATAACCTTTGGAGCCAACTATTACTCCCACAATCCCATTCTTCAATCATTTTTGCCACACCAACTCAAACTCTGATTCCGACTTGTACCTCCATAAGAGTATCAAAATATTTTTCTCTAAATCCCGGTTTCCAATAAAGTTGAGGTATATTCTTTTGGGCATTCCTATCAATATGCCATTCACATAAACGATGACAAGTATCAGGAAAAACTTCTTTAATAGCAGCCGCTATTGCAGGAGCTTGATCGATAAATACAGTTTTGGGTGATATGCCTCCCATAGCCTTCAAAAAAGTACGAAATAGCCAAACAAAAGAACTAGTTGTTTCATCACTTAAGAATGCACACCCAAAAAAAATATTTTTCGAATGATTATTTACGCCCACAAATGGAGCACAAATCATGTCATATTTATTTGAACGATATGTAGTATCAAAAAACATCACATCTCCAAAACACTCATAATGCAATTTAGGTATACTATCTCTCTAGAAAAAGTTGCACATCCTTCCATCTTCATCAACTTGAAAAGAGTAAAAAAAGTTTGAATCCTCTGATTGCATATGCATAAAACGATCCACAAAAGTTTGAGCATCTCCACTATTAATCATACTTCTTTTACGTGCTTGTATGAAGTTATGAGCATCTTGTTCAATAAATCTAGCATTTTCAATACCACTTGCTTCATTTTGAAGGTAACGAACAACCTTTTTGGTGCGAATACCAGCATCTACCATAGAACTGAGAATGTCTTTAGTAGCAGTTGTAAGATTTTGGCCAGACAATATAAAATGTCTCAAATTTTCCTCGATCATCGGGTGGTTATGCTCATCAGAAAATTCGAAAACTTTCCATTTCTCATTTGAAATCTTAAATTTTATGCGAGTCATACAACCACATCTATATTCTAACCTTTGACGTTTTCTTTCTAGATAATTAGAATACAAAAGAGATTTCCCTTCACAAGAACAAAGAAATAAACACCTTGTTAATTCTTTGTTTCTGTTGTAAGTTTTTGCTCCCTTTCGAATGCCAAAACCTTTTGCTAAAGCATAGGAATTGTATGCTACATATGATTCATCTTCAGAACCAAATTTCATCCCAATCTTAATAGTAAAGTCATTGTTGATGTTAGACCCATTATGGACGAATGTAGAGCAATCTTGATCATTTGCAGTATAATCTACAATAATATAATCTAAATTAGAGGTACAATATTTACACATAAATAATAATAAAACTAAATTACGTTTTCCATTAAAAAAAGTGAGTACTTGAAATTAATAGTCTTTAAAGTTCATGTTGCTTACCTTCACCTTCAAAATTAATATCTTCATGAGCAGAGTGATCCTCCATATTGTTGAGCATAAAGTGTATGCTTTCTTCTTCACCGTAGAAAGGATGTTAAGAAATAAGATTTTCAATAAAAAAAAAAAATTGTCAAAAAGCAGACCTAGATCTTATATACATAGTATAGTATAGGGACCAGAGTATCCGTTAATGGAAAAATTGGATTCTTCAATATATACTTCACCTAAAGAAAAGGAAATTGCAGTGTCATCCATAAACACACTACATAGATCATAACGCAATTTTTTTCACCGTACCTTTTTTTTCTTTATTATAATATTATAATAATATAATAGGAGTAATGAAATAGAACTTTTACTTTCTTCTTTTCCTTTTATTGTCCATTAGTTAAGCTTCTAATTAGGTAAAAGAGTAGACCTAAATATTGCCGTTTTTAGCTTATGCTTTAAAATAAGTAAGTAGGAACATGAGTTCACTTGTCAAGAAATAAACTAGACTCACATAAGTAATGTTGGTTATGTGACTCACATAGTAAAATTTCTCTTTACTTGTCATCCATTTTGGTGATGAATTAAATATGGATAGAGTGTTCCACAAGTGCAGAGAGATATTTGTGAATGGCATAGCAAAAGAGAAGACTATATTCACAAATGTTGTTGTCTCCTTGACAAAAACAAACTAGGGCAACTAGTTCATGCCCTCGAACCTACCATTAATTATTCCCTTATATAACCAAAATATCGGTCCAATCCAACCACTTAAATAAGAAATAGTCGGTAATATATAATATATATGTATAATTCATATATATAGCATGTGTATAACTGTTTACAATCAGTTTACGATATATGTATGCCCGTTGAAAAGAATAAACAGTGAGTCAAGCCGATTGATTATGTAAATGTCCCTTATACATTCGGAGTTCCTCAAGTGCAGAGAGATCATTTTCAATGTCATAGCAAAAGAGAAGACTACATTCACAAATATCGGTGTCTCCTTGACTAGAAACAACTAGAATAATCCCATAAATAACCTAAATAGCCGTGTGTATAACTGTTTACAATTAGTGCATAACTATATATATATATATGCTGATTAAAAAGAATAAATAGTGAATCAAGCCGTCTATTTATGTAAATGTCCCTTATACATTCGAAGTTACTCAAGTGCAGAGAGATCATTCTCAATGGCATAGCAATAGAGAAGATAACGTTCACAGATGTCGGTGTCTCCTTGACTAGAACAAACTAGGGCAATTAGTCCATGTCCTCAAACCCTACCCTAATTTAATTAAATTAAATAACATAAATAGCCGCGTGTATAAATGTTTATAATTATTGCATAACGATATATGTATGCCGACTAAAAAGAATAAACAGTGAACCAAGCCGGTTACATCTATAATTGTCCCTTATATATCCTGAGTTCCTCAAGTTAAGAGAGATCTTTCTCAATGGCATAGCCAAAGAAAATACTACGTTCACAAATTTCGTTGTCTCCTTGACCAAATCAAACTAGGGCAAATAGTCCATGTCCTCGAGCCCTATCCTAATGTAATTCCCATAAATAACCTAAATGACCATGTGTATAACTACTTACAATCGGTGCATAACGAAATATGTATGCAGGTTGAAAGAATAAATAGTGAATCAAGCTGGCTGTTTCTGTAAATGTCCCTGATACATGCTAAGTTCCTATAGTGTAGAGATACCTTTGACAATGGCATAGCAAAAGAGAAGACTACATTTACAAATCTTGCTGTTTTTGTAAATGTTCCTTATACATCCGGAGTTCCTCAAGTGCAGAGAGATCATTCTCAATGACATAGTAAAAGAGAAGACGACGTTCACAAATTTTGGTGTCTCCTTGACTAAAACAATCTAGGAAAATTAGTCCATGTCCTCGAACCCTACCCTAATTTATTTCCCTTTAATAACCTTAATAGCCGTGTGTATAACTATTTACAATTAGTGCATAATGATATATGTATGCCGACTAAAAAGAATAAATAGTGAACTAAGCCGGATGTTTCTATAAATGTCCCTTATATTTCCTGAGTTCCTCAAGTGCAAAAAGATCTTTGTCAGTGACATAGCAAAAGCGAATACTATGTTCACAAATATCGTTGTCTCCTTGACCAAAACAAACTAGGGCAAATAGTCCATGTCCTCGAATCCTACCCTAATTTAATTCACTTAAATAACCTAGATATTCGTGTGTATAACTATTTACAATCAGTGCATAACGATATATGTATGGCAGCTAAAAAGATTAAACAGTGAATCAAGCCGGCTAATTCTGAAAATGTCCCTTATACATCCTGAGTTCTCCAAGTGCAGATAGATCTTTGTCAATGGCATGGCCAAAGAAAAGACTATGTTCACAAATGTCGTTGTCTCCTTGACAAAAACAAACTACGGCAATTAGTCCATGTCCTCAAACCCTACCCTAATTTGATTTGCCTTGAATAACCTAACTAGTCGTATGTATAACTATTTACAATCAGTGTATAACGATAGATGTATTCCAGCTAAAAATAGTAAACAATAAATCAAGCCAACTATTTCTGTAAATGTCCCTTATACATTTTGAGTTCAAGTATTTATCAATGATATAATAAAAGAGAAGACTATGTTCACCAATGTCGTTGTCTCCTTGACCAAAACAAACTAGGGCAATTAGTCCATGTCCTCGAACCCTACCCTACTTTATTTCCTTTATAACCTAAATAGCCGTGTGTTTAACTGTTTACAATTAGTGCGTAACGATATATGTATGCCAACTAAAAATAATAAACAATGAATCAATTTGGTTGCATCCGTAATTGTCCCTTATACATACGAAGATCCTCAAGTGAAGAGAGATCATTCTCAATTGTATAGCAAAAGAGAAGACTACGTTCACAAATATCAATGTCTCTTTGACTAGAACAAACTAGGGCAATTAGTTCATGTCCTCGAACCCTACCCTAATTTAATTCCCTTGAAAAACCTAAATAGTCGTGTGTATAACTATTTACAATTAGTGTATAGCGATATATGTATGCCGACTAAATAGAATAAACAATGAACCAAGTCGGCTACCTCTGTAATTGTCCTTTATACATCCCGAGTTCCTCAAGTAAAGAAAGATCTTTGTCAATGGCATAGCAAAAGATAAGACTACATTCACAAATGCCATTGTTTCCTTGACTTAAACAAGTTAGGTAAATTAGTCCATATCCTTAAACTCTACCCTAATTTAATTCCCTTAAAAAACCTAAATAGCCGTATCGATAACTGTTTACAATCCGTGCATAACGAAATATGCATACCAACTAAAAAGAATAAATATTGAATCTAGCCGGTTGTTTCTGTAAATGTCCCTAATACATCCTGAGTTCCTCAAGCGCTGAGAGATCTTTGTCAATGGCATAGCATAATAGAAGACTACGTTCACAAATGTCGTTGTCTCCTTACCAAAATAAACTACGACAATTAGTCCTTGTCCTAGAACCCTACCCTAATTTGATTTCCCTTAAATAACTTAAATGGCTCTGTGTATAACTGCTTACAATTAGTGCATAATGATATATGTATTCTGACTAAAAGAAATAAATACGAATCAAGCCAGCTGTTTCAATAAATGTCCCTTATACATCCGGAGTTCCTCAAGTGCAGAGATATTATTCTCAATGGCATAGTAAAAGAGAAGACTACATTCACAAAATGTCGGTTTCTCCTTGACCAAAACAAACTAAGGAAATTAGTCCATGTCCTCGAACCCTACTATAATTTAATTCCCTTTAATAACCTAAATAGTCATGTGCATAACCATTTTCAATCAGTGCATAACCATTTTCAATCAGTGCATAACGAAATATGTATGCTGAATGAAAGAATGAATAGTAAATCAAGCCGACTATTTCTGTAAATGTCCCTAATACACCCTGAGTTCCTCAAGTGCAGAGAGATCTTTGTCAATGGCATAGTAAAAAAGAAGACTACGTTCACAAATGCCGTTGTCTCCTTGACCAAAAAAAAGTAAAGCAATTAGTCCTTTTCCTCGAACCATACCCTAATTTGATCTCCCTTAAATAACCTAATTAGCAGTGTGTATAACAGTTTATAATTTGTGCATAACATTATATATATGATAGCTGAAAAGAATAAATATTGAATCAAGCTGGCTATTTCTGAAAATGTCCCTTATACATCCTGAGTTCTTTAAGTGCAGAGAGATCTTTGTCAATGGCATTGCAGAAGAGAAGACTATGTTCCCAAATGTTNATAGTAAACAATAAATCAAGCCAACTATTTCTGTAAATGTCCCTTATACATTTTGAGTTCAAGTGTTTATCAATGATATAATAAAAGAGAAGACTATGTTCACCAATGTTGTTGTCTCCTTGACCAAAACAAACTAGGGCAATTAGTCCATGTCCTCGAACCCTACCCTACTT